TCGAGCTTTCTCTAAATTTTGGAGTACATGTGTGTTATTATCACTTATTGGCCTTTTATTAATATTACGATCGTAGAGATTTTTACTATTTGCTGCGTCGAACATATCATTTATAACGCTTATGAAGTTGGACGTATTTATTGCCGTGTCAGATATCAGTTCACCAGTCGAGACACACGTTTTAATAGCAGCCGATACAGAGTTACTAAAAAGCTGAATCGCTAGTTTACATGTCATTTTCTGGAACGCATTTGGAGCAAGGTGCGCTGGCGTTATTTTGGTCATAGCCCGAGCAGTATTTTTTATGTCTGTCTCGTAAGTTTTTCGAATGTCTTTGAATGATACAATGTTATTGTTAATTTCAAAATTACCGGACAACAGATTATTTCTTATACTTTTTACTAAATGTGGCATGTCATAAATTAAAAATATTTTTTTTTCATTTATTATGGTAAATGGCCTATCTTCTGTTCCACCGAGTAATTTAAACATTCGTTGGTTTTGAGTACCTTGGTCACAAACAATAGTGGTCGGTATTAGATTGAGTCTAGTCATAACTTTTTCCACACATTTCTTTATAATTATCACTAAATCATCACCTTTTACTCCGTTACCCGTAAAAAAATAACAAAATGGAAATTTCCATTTTTTATATAGTCCGCGTAGCATTATCACTAAAGCATGTGTTCCAAATGTAGGCGTTCGACCCAGAGGCCCTAAATCTTCAAAACCTTCGATTTCATCTAATATTTTATTGTACTCAATAGATTTCATAATAGAAACTTCGTCTAATAAAATAACGCACTTTTTTTCTTCGTACGTAAAGTCTGAGGTTTTAAGTTTAATTTGTTCCATGTACATAGATGGAAAACCAGTGGAAAAATGAATTGAGTTCAACCAACGCTTTACAGTGCTTTTCCCCGGTAGTATAATGCCACTTTTACGCATATAATTGTAAGTGGATGGTGATTTATAATAAAGTGACAAAGCAATTTTTTTTTCTTGGGGAGACCATGGTTTTCGTTTTTTATGTAGAACTTGCATCATTGTAAGGGCTTTGGAATTTTTTGATGGAAATTTTGTTTTGTTAAAAAAATTTCGCACAACATTTTTTGACAAATTTTGAGTTTTTTCATTTTTTTTTTCAAAGCGCTTATTATAGCTCGTTTTCTTTTTAACATCCTTCGTAGACTAAATAACTTTTGTTTAAGAACAGATTCCGTGAACAATTTTTTTTCGGTGATTTTTTGTGGGAGTAGGAAATGAAATCAATGATGATACAAAAGATTTCGTAGTTGGTGTAATAGATAAACTTGGACTTTCATCGAACAAAAGCTGCTTGGCAGCGGGGCTAATTGATCTCTGACGCCTATCATATTTACGTTTCGGTGTTAAGACTTCAAGCGATTCTGCTAATGTCAAATTATCTAAAAAACAATTATTTTTTGTTTACTGTAATATTTAATTTAGAAAAATCATGAATTCCTTCCATACCCCTCGCTACCTACAATTTTCAATGTGAGATATGGGTTATAGTACACAGCTAGCTGTTATTTACTAAACAAAACAACAAAACCAAAGACAGTTGCGTGCTCAAGGTGGGGAGTTTAGGGGTTATAGCCCCCCCATTGTATTTTTTTTCACCGAATTATTATTATTTTTTTTTTTAGCAAATTATTATTTATTAGATATTAGAGCTGTTTCAGAGTCATTACTTGTTATTAGTTATTAGCAAAAAGTTATTACTTATTATCAACTATAAACATTCACTATACAGTCTATATAACTATTCCTATACTAGTCTATATATTATACTATATAATTGACGTAGTCAAATGCTTGACAAAATCGATTTTGGTTTTTGGCGTAACTCTAAAACAAATTATTGCAGAATGTAGATATAAACCATTTTCACTTTTTGTTTATATTATTATTTTCTATACATGATACAATTTTCAAAATATTGGATTTTTTTTTCAACTGTTTACGGACATTTTCAGTTTCCAATTTTCAAATATTTTTTTTTTCTATGAATATCAACAAAATTTAATTTGTTGGTTAAAAAAGCTTGACAATTTAATACGAGGATCCTAATACGTTGTTACAGTAGTAGTTGAAAAATATTAAAAATACAGTCATAATTTATTTTATAAGTATTTCACTGGATGTTTATATTCTCATTTTCTAAACACCATAAAATTAAAATTTTTTGACTCATTTTGAGCTGTTAACGGACACTTTCAAATTTCAATTGTTTAATACAATGCTCCTGATATATTGTTACAATACTGTTTGAAAATATTAAAAATACATTTGCACAATTCAAATTTGGACAAAATTACATATTAAACCCTAGAATAACGATTTTAGTTACCTATTTAGTTATAGTTTAAAAATATTTTTCGTGGACAATTTACGTGGTTTTATGTGGTTAAGACGATACAAGTATATTATAATTTTATTTAATTATAAGTATGAAACTATGAACAATTGAACATCTATACAAAAACCCAACATTTTTTAATTGTGTCAACATTATGTACCTACCTGTAGCTACGAAGGTTTCTTTAAATTGGAACTGCCCTTTTTCAGTAACTGTATCTGCAGGATATAATGTGTTGTCCTTATTTACACTTTCTTCTGTATTCCAGACGATTTAAAATTACAATTTTAACAATTTTAACAATATTATTTTTTTATATTTTGTTGTAGTCTAACCTGGAATTATATTTTCCACTAGGAACCTTGGCGATCTCTTATTGGATAATTTACTAGAAGGTCCATTTAAAGGCACCGTCTTATGCGTTGCTGTAAAATCTTAAAGAATGAATACTTAACTAAATTTTTTTAATAATGAAACATTATGTATACAATTTAACTATAATATAAGGCTGTATCTAATGGTCCAAACAAATATCTACATATCAATTAAGGCAATAATTATTAATTACCGATAAGCTTAAGAGGACGCTATACCCACATAACGACGTACACAAAACGAGTTTACGTAATCTGAGTAGAACTCACTCAATTTTGATGTTAAAATGAAAATACCTATTACAAAATTAAAAGATAACAACATTTTGAAGGCCAAGATGGTAAGTTTAAAAAAAAAACATTAAATGTTGAAAAGTTAAAGGTAATTTAAAAATGTTGTAATTTTCGCTATTTCTAAACGATATAATGATTAATGAACGTTATATTAGGAATAATGAAGAAAACGCTGACTTGCCCTCAGAAATATTATCACAATTCAATTTTATAATAGATATTTTTACTCTAGAACCAACATTGAGTGAGTTATACACAGACTGGTCAAAGTGTTTTGTCTAATAGTAGGTAACTCGTATAGGTGTGTAAAACCGAGACAAGACGTAACAAACTGACAACACATACGGGTGTGACGTCCTCTTAAATATTATAATTTATAACATAGAGAAGAAAATCTTTGAAATAAATTTATATTTTTTCATGGATTCTTTTCAGAAAAAGCCTTTCAAATTAGTTTATATATAACAAATTTTACCCAGAGAATATTCCATCGGAACAGCATTTTTTTTTAATGTGCGACGAATTGTACCAACCGGTTCGTTGTACATTTTAGTATCAAAATGATTAGCACAAATGTACCTTTTTTTCAACCGTTTAGGGCTGAGTGACACTAGCTTCATATTTCCTATGTTTGATAAAATAAAAATAAGTAATACAGTAACCCTCAGTAATATCATATGGTAATATTTATTTTTAAATAATTTACCTGAATTTAAAATCCATTTTTTAGCCAATTCTTCATTAGTAGGGAAAGAATAAAAACTATTCTTAGAGGTTCTCCTCGACAAATTACAGTTAAAAAACATACATTTATCACCAGACATTTTAAAAAAAAACAGACAGCTAGAACTCTAGTAGAGCTATAGAGCTCTGTACTCAATAATTCCTATGAATCAAATGAAAAATAAATCTCGAAAATATTATCAGTAGACAGTATTTTTGATCGTGTACCGTAGAAAGGATTTTCCAAGACCTTTTATACGATAAAACAGTATACTATTTGTATAATATTAACGTTTAGGAACACTATATATAGAAATGTGAGTAACCGGTGGCGGTCGGGACTTGAGTTTGACCTGGCCCCGCAAACAAAACATAGCTGGTATTTTAAATCAAATCGTATATAAATGTATTTAATTTCCTTCGACCGAATGAAGTTAAAAATAATATGAGTAGTGATATGAGTAGATTTAAACCTAAACAGTTTGATGACAAAATATATAAATGTTTTTCAAATAACAAATAACACAATTTATGTCGAAATCTACCTTGGATATTGATCAGATGATGAGACCTAGGTATAATCGTATAAATAAATAGCTATTGATTGAGTTAGTTACAGCACTCAACAAAAAAAAGGTGGGCAAGTGGATGTCACTCTGCTTTACAGTAGGTTACAAGTGGGTCACTGGATGTTATTAAATTTGAATTCAATGATATAATATCATTGTATACGAAAAACGATTCTGAGCAAAGACGGTATGTCAGCCTACAATATTATTGTAGGTAGGCATATTTTATGATATTATTGTGATCAAAGTAACTAATTTTAGTATTCTAATATCCACTACAGTAGGTTAAATTCATTTTCCCCAAAATAATTACATTTGAAAATATCATTGTGTTTATAAAATATAACAATACATTTAGAACATCGATTAATTTATTTTCTGAAAAGAAATCATAAAGTCAAGGTTCAAGAAAACAAACTCCATATTTTCTTTTAATTTACAAATAAGAATAAAAATATGAACATTGTATTTTGTGTTTAGTTATATAGTGTTATGTAAAAAATTAAACTCATAAAAGGGTCATGCATAATATTTTTTTTAAATAAGAACTATTTTTTTTCGCTCATAAATTCATATATTATGCTAATCCAGCGAGTCCAAAAAATTAAAAATCTATAGGGTCTTTCCCCTTAAATCCGTTACTGTAAGTAACATAATATGGCAATGATAACACAGAGCGTACGTAGCGGCGCGGCGAGTACACCTTCATTTTAGTACCGATAAGTATTTGAAGCAACCGGAACGCAACCGGATAGCGGATCACGCACGGTAGTCTATCAACACGAAAGTGAGCCTCGTATCGTCGGTCCCCACTCCTGCAAGGCTGCAGTCACTAGCGCTTACAACGTTCCCCGCCAATACTAGGCGGGTGCCCACAGCGCTGTATAACGGCCGCCGCCAACTGACGCGCAGCATATTTTCTATAGCAGTGGGCTATCTATAGTATTTATAATCAATGCTTTTATGTTTCAAAATATTAACATAGGTACATAATATTTATAACCACTATATTAATATAAACTATGGGTTTTAATTATTTCTAAATTGTATTTTAGTCACAAGCTGTAGATTGCAATTCAGGAAGAGATTTTACGGCAAATAAACACGAAAACCCACCAACTTGCAAGGTAAGAAAATTGTGTTGATTATAAATTTTAAATAAAAAAGGGGGAACACTAAGTAGGTGTATCGCTTTGATAAACAGTATAAGTTGAGTGAACCTCGTAATTTAGTTGGTGACTGTAATAATTGAGGAGCTACTTAGTCAGCATTTCAAATTCCCATGAAAAATATTTTTGAATTACTACAAAATTACTAAAATTGTTATTCTTTATTTAAATAACAAATTAATTTTTTGGTTCAGTACCTATGGATTATTTATGTGAAACCTTGAATTAAATTGATAAGAGTTACCTATAAAAATTGAACACTATACAATAATTTGTAAAGTTTCTTGATTAGGTATGACTAATTTTAACAAAATTTGAACTTCAAATGATTATAAAAAATCTTGATTATGTATCTATAATATTTTTGAACGTAAATAATAAAACTTCTAACCTTCAATTAAATTTTCCAACATTTTTACTAAGCACAGATAATAATTGAAAAAAAAAAAATCATAAATGACTCAATTCCATAAATAGCTCAAAAAGAGTTAAAATATTTTGAAAATTTTACCATGTATAGAAAATGATAAAATAAACATTTGGTAAAAATTATAAGTGTTCATGACTATTTTTTAAAAGAGTTAAGTACATCAAAAAACCAAATCAATTTTGTCGAATATTGCTTTTGAATAAAAATTTCCTATTTTTCTTACTTTTTTTTTATTTTATCCTGCTTATTAACAAGACTACTGGGAATTTTTACTTTTGATTTACTCAAGTACCATTCAGTTACAATTTTCTACCAGAAACCATCTTCAAGTTGAAAATCGTAGCATGTTCACTGCCCCTATAGATGACCGACAGAAAAAAACACTTAGGTATCATTGTAAAATCAATACATTTATCGCTGAGTTCAGAATAAAATATATGAAATATGTCAAGTATTGACCTATATGGCTGTATATTGGGTGTTAATGTTGAATCATGCAGAACCTAAACACGTTTAGTTTTTTATCTAAATGTTAATCGTTAGGTCCCCTTGACTTTTTAAATTTGTTAATATGCCACTGCTACAGCCTTTATGCATATTGTCTCTTTTTACATACCTACCTAGGTAATAGGTACCTAGTGAATTTATATACGCGCACACGGACACGGCAAATCACCCACATAACCTACCCAATAATTCATTATTAAATAACAATAAATACCTACTTATCAATTTTGAAACGGATTACCTAATACTTGTTGTGCTTTAGTTGTTAGATGTAAAATCGCCGGATCACGACAATGCATGCAATTACCGAAAACACATTTATGCAATTTTAAAAAAAATAGTTGAAACTGTTTCGTTCAGCTCGCATAAGAAAACAGTTGTAGTTAAACCGATCGATTGTTGTGTAAGTTAAATTTTTTAAAATCATTTATAATTATTTTCTAAGTGGAAAAATATGCATAAATGCACACAATTTTTATTTTATTATTATTTGTTGAAACACAATAATTTCCTAAAAACTGCATGTATATATTGTATACGTATATAAATAAGACATTGATTCAACGTACCTACATAGGCACATGTTGAAACAATTGGTAATCACAAGAAAAAAAGATGATATTTATCGTCTATTCTATTATATCGTCTTATAAATTATATCTATCAGGTTGACCGCCATGAGACCCTTTATGGGATCTCACTGGTTTACTCCCTGATGCCATGACCATTTCGATAGGTTTACTTAAACTGAATTTAACAGTTTGCAGAAAAAAAATCATAAAAAAAAACTTATAATGATATTTGCAAACTTGTGATACCTACTGAAGGTGGTGTAACGTGGTCGAGGATGACCCGTTAAATATAAGATATTCAGGGAAGAAATTAGTTCTTTTGAATATATTTTTACCGTAGCTCGGGAGCACGAATGGTATTAGGATCTTAATATTACAAATAAATAACGATTGATCTAAATTATTATTAATACAAATAAATTATTTATTATTACTTACAATTTAACAACAAAGTTACCAAAAATGTAGGATTGTACGGAGTTCAGGTGCACAAGGTGGACACAAGGTGAACTTTCTTTTCTTACATAGGGATATTGACTGGAGCCTTACAATCATAAAATATATAATATGTGACACCTAAATCGGAGGGGCTTAATATATTATAGTCAGCGCATAATATGCCTATTGTGCATATTATGATGCTTACAAAATAAACGTAATGATGTAACATACGTTACATTACCCCCCTCCCTTTTTTTGGAACATTTTAAATGTGCTATATTAAAAAAAAAATAACAATATAAATCATGTTTCATTTAAACACCATCCCCTTTTTTTTTTTACAATTTAAGAAAATATATTATTAAGGATCGTTTTATTTAAATTGATTGAAATTGTACCTGATTTTTAAGATTTACCACTGTTTTGATGTGAATACGTGATAACTGATATTTACATTATATATTTATACATACACTGCATGTCTGCATTTATACACATAATATGCATATGATATATTATATCTTTATGTTTAGTTATTAAAATTAGTTCTGCTTTGCTCGGGCTTACCAATGCGATAACACTCATGATAATAATATATTAATTGTATTTTTGAGTGGCTAGCGCCCTATATCAATTGTTTCTTGATTCATCAGTTTTTAACGACCGTATATGTATATAATGAAAATCAAATCTACGTACAATTTTGCAAGTATCAATGACGTGTTTTTTTTTGTGTTTGTGTTATTGTAAAATTTCAACCAGTTTATTACTACCATTTTTATTTTTTATGATAATTTTTTCTATTTGAACCCTTTCTCTACATTTTTATATATACGTCTAACGCATGTTTTCACAAGCTGTTTTTTTTACATAATATACCTATGCCTTATAGTAAATTTACAATATAAATCCACATCATACTCATGTACGATATTAGTGTTCCGAAATTATTCTTCACCCGTTCTGTCGTTTGGATGTCACCGGTCCCTCAAGGCCTCAACCATGGCTTAAATATACAAGGTTATTGCAATAATATCCCCATTATATCATTTTATCATGTTAAGGAATTAAAATGGCAGCGTAAGGGGACGACGTATACTGGCTATACTATGATATTATATGCACACTATAGACCGTTCCCTCAAGCTGCCATTTTATTTTTGTTTGATAACAATATGGGCTATATACAATAACCTTGTATATTTAAACCATGGCCTCAACTAGTGCTGAAACAGAGAGGTCTGTTATCGTTGTCTGTCCACGGATTGGTGCACGCTGTACAGCTATGACCTCGGCCGCGGCGTCGTGAAAGGTCTTGATTGAACCACCATAATATGTCTTGGATTCGAGGTGTATGGTTCGGTCGTAGTCACCTCAATTTGTAAGCTTTCTCACTTTTTTTTTTGCTTACACCTTTTTTGTGGTTGTTATTGAAAAATAAAATAATTAAATTTATCCTTATGCTAAAAAATAAAAGTACATGAATGATCTCGATACCTTATTCTTTGACTATTAATAATTTCTTTATTAGTTTCCCCTAAATAACACAATATTAGTTTTTTATCATTATATATATGGCCTAATATTAAAGCTCATAAATAAATTCCATACTGATGGATAACATTGTTTGTAATAGTATAGTTATTTTCGTTTTCTTTCTCTATTTCGGTAACTATATAATCTAAGTTATGGGTAGATTCTTTTAAGTTTTTGAGATTTGGCATTTGTAATTTCGATAAGTTAAAAGATATGTTTGATGATTGTATTATTTTTTGTCATTCTTGGTAACTATCGTAACTTACACTACCAAATGCCCAAACTTCAAAATTTCCAATTGCGTTAATTAATCCTCTTTTAAATCTATTACTTTTCTGCAACGACATTAACCTATTACGTATATTAGGTATATCGTTTATTTAACTCTACTCATGTTGTATGCAAGGTGGGTAAAAAATTGATACAGATTGTGGAAATATTATGAGTCTCAGTTTTACATAGTTTCCATTATTATAGTTTCAATATAGTTTTTAGTTTTACTTGTTGATTTGTTTCCATCTCAGGGTTAATATCAAATTCTAATTTTTTCTATCTGTTAAATTTCTTATGTTACATATTGTTTTATTGTTTTCGTTATTTTTTACTAGTGGTTTTTGTAACCTTGTTCGATTTAATATTGTGCCGGCAAAATTGTCATTCATGTTTTCAAATTCTTGTTCTACATAATGTGTTAACTCATCAAATCCGTTTTGTGTAACATCCACTTCGTCGTATTTTATATTTTTCTGTGTATTGCTACTTTTTATGCGTGGTTCTCTTTGTTCTTTAATAGTTTTTAGGGCAGGTGTAAATACAATCATATTACGTACGGTTAATATTTGATTATTAGTGTTCACTTTACCCGGGGTCCAATGATTGTCTTTATCAAATATTCCAATAGATTATCGGTTTGGCTTATAATAAACTATTGCAGTGTTTTTTACTGTTTTATTATTTTTTTTCATCATAACCTTTTATAATTTTTATTATATTTATCCGTCAAATATGCGAGATCGTCATCTGTGCGTTGGTAACCCAATCTACATCTTGGTATTCCTATATTATTTAAGATTTCCAACGTTGTCAAGTGGAGTCCTTTGTTTTTTAAACAAACTTTTAACGCCTTTGCCCACCATCTCTATCTTTCGGTGTTTTTTTTGCTATTTCAAGATAAGATGCTAATTTGTTTATTTGAATCCTTAAATTATAATCTATTGATGTATCTTGATTATTTTCCGTATCATGTGAATTAATTATTATATTTATTGTTGATGAATTTCTTGTTTCCTGAGTTTTTGCTATTGACTTGCATTCTATTTTATGTTCGGACTCTAATTTATAAATTCTTATAGTAATATCTTATTTTGAAACTTGAATTTAATCATTTTTGAAATTAAATCCCATTCTTTTTTATCTAATCCCGAACAAACTTTGGTTAGTCCCAAATTATATATTGACTGATCTATGGAAAACTGTTTTAAATTTTGGAGTGTGTTAAAAATGTTTTCATATGTGGGTTTCTCATTATATGCTCATTTTATTATTAAATATAAAGTCCATTGTTTATTTTTTCTTTAAAAATGCTTTTCCTGTAAGTTTTTTATTCTGTGCTTTTAATAAGTCGTCTTCTTCGAATCTTTCTTTGAATTGTTGTTCAATCCCTACATTCATTTTGATGTCTTTACTGACACAATGTGCAATGCCATCGTTTATTTGTTCAGTGAATATATTACCTATGATGTCATGGTATCTACATTTGGTTCTATACGTTTCTGAATTTGGTAATAGAAACTGTTATAAATTAATTTTTTGCTTATTTTGTGTAATATTATTATTGTCTTGTAAGGTATTTATTGGTTTGTCTTTCTTCTCTATTTTTAATTTTACTTCATATACATGTTCCTTTATCATTAAACGTTACTTAGTTATTTTTTTAAGTCTAAAATTGTTTTAATTTTTTTCATTATGTTTAATCCTATTATTATATACATATGGTGTACATAGATTGTCAACTATTATTATTTTATAATTTATTACTATCATTAATATTTTTATCTGAGCCACAGTTGTTCATAAAATTTTTAGTTTAGAATTGTTCGCCGTTTCGATGTAGAGTTCGCTTTCCAAGTTAATTTATTACATTTAATTGTATTTTTGTTTATAACTGTTACACTCGCCCCTGTATTTAATAACAGTGTAGTATTTTGATCATTTATTTTTCCTTGTATTTGTATTTTAATTTTTTCTTTATTATTATCATAATAAGTATAAATAGTATTATTTGTATTTGTATTTTTGACGATATTTAAAGGTATGATGCTGGTAATGTATTGGTGTTCCTGTGCAGACCCAGTTCTGCGGAACTATTAGTTTTTTTTGTACAAAGGTATTACAGTTTCTTTTTATGTGTCCCGGAATTCCACACTGAAAACATATCGGCGACCCCTGTTGATTTCCATAAGTATAATATTAGTATGGGGTATTATTCCCTGATAACTTTGTGTAGAGCGTTGTGTATTGGGTAATTGGTTATTATTTATATTATTATAATTATAATTTTGATAGAAGTTTGGTCTAGGAAATTGGGTGTTTGTCATCTGTTTATTATTTGTGGGATAGTTGTAATTCGGATAAAAGTTTGGTCTTGGATTATTTTGATAATATTCATTTGGATTATTAAATATAGTTGGTTGGTAGTGTTGATTTATATTATAAAAGCTGAATCCATTGTTATAGATAGTTTGCCCTTCGTTCTGATAATTATTGTTACTCTGTAAGATGTCTTTTTTGAGTTTGTCCAATTTTAATTTGACTTATATGATTTTTTAAAACTTCTATTTCTCTAGTAAATTTCTCTACATCTCCATTTACCTTGTCCTCCGATCTAAATAGATGTGTTACTTCTAGTTTCTCTAGAGTTTTTTTAATGCTTGCGATCGATGTATTATCTGCTAACCTTATAAACTGAAAAGTTTCTTTGGGTACTCATTGTAAAATTGGACGGAGCCTTACAATCATAAAATATATATGTGGCACTTAAACCGGAGGGGCTTAATATATTATAGTCAGTACATAATATGCCTATTGTGCATATTATGATGCTTATAAAATAAACGTAATGATGTAACATACTTTACAGTGGCAACACTGTAGATTTCAAATCCTACTAGAAAATACTGATAAATGTGACTCTGAACGGGGTCTAGTTGGAAAATCGATTTCAGTGAGATCCCAAAAAGGGTCTCGATAGCGATTTTGAGTAATTTACCTGAGATACCAAATAGAGTCTCATGGCGTGACTGAGTAACTTGAAAAAAACCCGTGGCGGTCAACCTGCTATACGTCTTTTACTACCTTTTTTTTTTTTTTTTTTCCGGTTTGGAATCACGGACAGGGAGGGAAGTAGGTTTCCCCATTGCTGCCTCCCTGGCCGCATCGTTTATTGATACAATATACATCACATTACATAACATCATATAAATTTAGTTACAAATAAAAAAGGGGGCCTCTAACCACCCTGAAAAGTTTGGCCATTCAGCCTACAACAAACAAAATCTCAACTAAGATGACTTGACAGGTCGCCTTTATTCCACCGCAGCTTCCCGCTGTCTCGCCCTCTCCAGCTCCTCCTTGCGGCCCATGATCACCTCAACCATCTGAGCGAACTGGACTTTCCTTTTCTCTGCTGCAGCCAGGATCCTACCCCTGAGTGGTACTTCGGTTGGTAACTCCGCTGCCGATGGTCCGCACAGGAGGTCCATGGCGTCCTCCGGGCGTACTGGCCGGCCCAGGGATTGTTCAACCTCTTTCCTCTCCTCACTCCAGAAGAAGCACACAAACACAGTGTGCTCAGCGTCGTCGACCTCTGCGGTGCAGTGGGGACAAGCTGGACTCGGCGCCTTGTTCCTTGTCCAAAGGTAATTTTGGTAACAGCCATGGCCACTAAGGGCCTGCGACATGTGGTAGCTCACTTCGCGTGGACCACATTGCCACCACCTGGACAGATTGGGTATCAGCCGTTTAGTCCATGCCGCCTTTCCGGTAGAGTCCCATAGATTTTGCCAACGTCTAAGGACATCGGCCATCATATCACGCTTGGACAGAGCGGCGCCGGCTTTTTTCGCTGCCGCAATCTGTTTCCTGACTCCCGCTAGGAGGGTTGCCGGGGGCATCTTGGCCAGTACAAGGGCTGCCATATCGGACACTGTACGATAACACCTTGCAACCCTCAGTGCCGCACACCTCTGCGCTTGTAGCATTACGTTACTAGACTTTTGAAACCTGGATACTTCTTCTGACCAGATTGCTGCACCGTATAGCAGTCGGCTATGGACCACACTCATTAGGAGCTGTCTTTTCGCCTGCGTCGGGCCTCCGACGTTAGGCATGAGTCTGCCCAGGGCGGCTACTGCCTTCCTCGCCCCAACAGCTACAGTGCTCGCGTGTTCGATAAATGACAGCCTGGTATCCAATTGGACTCCCAAATATCTGATGGCCCGCTTGGACGGGATCTGATGACCATGGATGAAAAGGTCCGGGTTGCGAAATTTCTTCTTGTTTGTCAGAACTACACACTCCGATTTCTCAGGTGCTAGCTGCAGGCCATTGGTGGTCATCCAGGCTGCTATATCTTCCAGGGTGGGATTCGCAATCTGTTCGACGAGCTCTGCATTGAAAGCAGTTACCACTACTGCCACGTCGTCCGCAAATGCAATTAGCTTGGCGCCATCTCTCATTGGGATGCGCAGCACACCGTCATAAAAAAGGTTCCACAGTGTGGGGCCGAGGACTGATCCTTGCGGGACCCCGCATGTTACCCCCATGTTAATGTCATCGGTTATTTTCAGATTCCTGGCCTGCATGTAGGAACGCATTATCTCAACTAAGTACTTGGGGACTACGGATTTCCTCAGTGCCTCATCGATAAGCCTCCAAGGCGCAGAGTTAAAGGCATTCCTCACGTCCAGGGTAATGAGGACACAAAGTTTCCTGGCTCGAACTGGGCCGTGGTTCGCTTCGTGAGCCGTCTTCATGACTTCCTCTATTGCGTCCGTGGTTGATTTCGACCGTCTAAACCCAAATTGGGAGTCACTAATTGCGCCGACCCGAGTGATATGGGCCTCGAGTCGGTTTAACAGCACCCTTTCGAACACCTTGCCGGCTCCATCTAGCAGGCTAATCGGCCGGTAGCTGGAGGGTAGGTCCCGTGCCTTACCCTGGCCCTTATGTAGCAGTACTAGTTTTGCACATTTCCACCGGGATGGGAAGGTCCTATTAGTTAGGCACGCGTTATAGCAATTTATGAATCTCTCCGGAAACTTGGCGAAGGCCAACTTTATTATCTCATTTGGCACCTGATCTGGCCCTGGCGCCTTACCAGATGGCAGTCTATCGACTGCGCACTTGACTTCGTGCGCAGTAATTGGTGGCGCCATTGGTGCACAATCGGATAGATCAATTAAGACTGACGACTGCTGTATAGACAGGGGGATGTGAACCCAGTCCGTAGCTGGTGGCGACGGAAAAAGGCCATGTGCCACGTTGCTTACAGTCACCAGATCCATGGCAGGAGCGTCTTTTACTACCTATATAATATTAACCTGATGTATATATATAACTTTTTTTTCTAAATATTAACATGTATAATACATTTATATTAATTATTAACATAACTATTGTACTAATTAAATATATCAAAACATTAATTAATTTTTTTTAAATTGTAATTTAGGCACAAAATAATTACAATTCAAGAGTAGATTTGACGGGAAATACACGTGTAAACCGACCGAACAGCCAGGTAAGAGCCTCGTATATTGATTATAAATGTAAATTAAAATATACATTTTTTCGCATCTCAATAATATTGACCTAAAGCAGAATGTATACAATATAAATAAATCATTGTTTTAAAATGCATAGTACATACATGTTGGAAAAAATTTACAATAATAACTAGTTATAAATAAATAATTTCATATAGGCTTTGATTCTATAGGTACTATATATTTTTTTTTGAAATATTAACCTAATATGTATATAAGTAATTATACTTATAATATACATATTATATTTATATAAACTGTGAGTTGTATATATTTCTAAATTATTTTTTAGTCATCAAATGCAGATTACAATTCCAGAGTAAATTTGTCAGTAAATAAATATGAAACCCGACCAACATGCGAGGTAAGAAAATCATTTGATGGTTAGGTATAAACTTATATTAACATTTTATATGTCGATAAATATTCCTAGATGGATGTCAGTGGGGACTGCTGTGAAGACAATATAAGGCTAAAAGATGAGTTAGCTGAAATTGAAATAATTAAAAACCAATTGCTATGTGAAAAACGAATGAAAAAACTTGCTGGATATGCACTTTTATTTAATATACGTAAAGCTAGCTTAAATATTAAAAGAGAGAATATATTACGTTATTACCTATAAGTTATATACGTTATTAAATTATTATTTTTATTGTTTAAGGTCAAAGAATTTTACACTTCAAAGATTATAAAGTATAATTATTACGCATTATATGCAGTATAAATTATTATAATATGTATAATATAAGTTAGCATTTTTAATTTACGCTACATTATATACGCATAATTTACTACAAAATTTAACTATCTTAAAAAACCCACATACCAACAGATAATGTAGGTACTTACCTTCAAGTTTCATAATAGGTCGATTCACTCTAATTTTTAAACTAACTTAGTTAAACATTATTTTCTGAGCTTAAATTTGCTTTATGATGCACTTGCAGCAAAAATACTCAACAAGTAAACAATATTTTGATAGTAATTTTAACGTTTTTATGGATTTATTTTAGAAAAAATTCTTCTTTGCCAAGTTTATTTATATGAATTATCGTTTATTATATTGTATATAATTTCGTGTTTATTATTAAAAATAGCAATAAACCGATTGGAAATGCATGAAATAATTATTACGTAAACCAACTGGTGTTTCAGCTGGCTGCAATGTCCGATGACGTCAGTAGGCACTAACCAACGCCGCCTCTGCCGTTTGTACTTGTTTACACAAATTACACACACAAGCGTATGTACGCGACTGTTAATTAAGTAGACTTGCGCATGCGCAATGATCATCGTGAGGCACGATTATCATCACCTATGAGTACCAAAAATAAATGCGGTAAACGGGCTTTATGGTCAGCCTGCAGTTCAGAAGAACACATTATCAGTTGTTATTGTTACAGCCGGGTGTCGGGACAGCCCTAATTAAACCGTTGTAATACCTGACACGGTACGCAGCGGCAACCAAGACAAAGTACAGGTACCGCAGCGACCAGTCTGCGCTTTTGACAACCGCCCACGGGCTACGAGCGTGACATCGCCAACCCTCACACCCCGCCACATTGTCATGGCGTGGCGGGGCGGGAAGGGAAGGGAAGTCGCGCAAGACGAGTACCGGCCGCCGGCAGCTTTTCTCTCGCAACTCGACCGTCACCACGACCACTTAGTGGTTTGTATCATTCATAGTTTTACGTTGTTGTAAAGACTGTAGCATCCTGCCAAATATCCGTTACTGTGTCTTTGTCTTTGTCCGTGTTCACGAATAAACGTCTCCCCGCTGACCTTAGTACCACCAACATGGTGTTCGCATTATTAATTAGTGTCACCTTCACACCACAAGGTACGACAGGCCTACCGCGGGCGGGGATGACCCGTTTGGGCGCAGTATAAATAATTTACCTGAAAATTGTTACACGTTTGGGCGCATTTATAAAGACACCTTTGGGCACAATATTTATTGCCACTAGTAATTGAAAATCGTGTGTAATCTAATCTAATTAGTACTTAATCGTTTGATCTGTAGACCATATCTTAATCATTGGAAAATACCACATCAAATTTAGCTATAGATATTTATCTACTAGTACAGATAATATGTAATATTATATTGTTCTGTGTTCTCCGTTTGATAGTTTATGATCGTTGCAGTGTATTGAGCTCTCGTGTGTGGACAACGTGTTTTAACATTTAACACTATTATAGTAAAGTTAAGTTTTCAACGTGTTTTAGTGTTTTTTTATTTGGATAGACAGTATGGAATTGAAAATCGATGACAAATTTGAAACTCGAAGAGGTAATTTATGTGTTATAATTGACGGCTATAAATTTAGCAAAAGTAGGGAAATGAAAGACGAAAATATTTATTTTAGATGTACTGATCATAATTGTAAATCAAGTGTAATAATTTGTAAAAATATTAAGCAAATAATTTCGGTTAATAATGAGCACAATCATCCACCTATTTCGAACAGTATTATTAATCGTCAAAAATTAACATCTACATTAAAAAGAAAAGCTACTTCAGATATTTTTAATAGACCTAATAAAACTATACGTCAAACATTACAGACGACTGTTGTTGATATACCTCATTCAGATATTCGTCTCTTTAGAAAATCTATGTATGAAGCTAGAATGAAAAAAATACCAACTCTTCCAAAAAATATTGCGGAAGCTATAGAACAAATGTATAACCATTGTACAGAATTAAAACTAAATAATGGAGAGCAGTTTTGTTATATGAAAACAACTGATAGCATTTCAATTTTTACGTGCATTTCTAATTTAAAATTACTTAGTGAATCAAGTCATGTATTTGCGGATGGTACATTTTCGTATGCACCTAAATTTTTTTTACAAATGTACACTGTGCATGTTTGGAAAAATGAATTTTATGTACCGGTAATTTATGCATTTTTAAAATCAAAATCAACTGAAATTTATTCAACATTTTGGACTACAATTAAAGATTTATGTCTAGAACTTTTTGGTCAAAGTTTAGAAGTTCAATTTCTCCACTTGGATTTTGAAAAATCAGCTCATATATCAGCTAAAAATGTTTTCCCCAATTGTCAAATAATTGGTTGCCGATTTCACTTACACCAAAGTTGGTTTCGTAAAATACAAAGTAGCAAATCTTTATTAAAACATTACACCGAGAAAACAGAGACAGGTGTTTGGCTTCAAAATTTTTTTGGTTTGAGTTTTTTATCATTTGATGAGGTTGAATGTGGTTTTGTCGAGCTTATGTCTATAGCACCGGCCGATGTAACAGATTTTACTGATTATATACTTGACAATTATATATCAGAAGATTCGCAATTTCCACCTTTTATTTGGGCTGAAGAGCCACAAACATACCCAAGAACAACTAATAGCCCAGAATCTTTCCATTCAAATTATAATCAGCAATTTTATAAACAACATCCTAACCATCAAAATGTTATTAACGTATTGATCGAAATTCAAACCAAGACAAATTTAAAAATAAATAGCATTGGAAAAAAAATAACTAATAAATTAAAAAAAGAAACTGAAGAAAAACAAAAGTTTGTACAAAAATGTTGGGAGACTTATAAAGTTGAAAAAAATATATTAAATTACATTAAAAAATTAGGACCACGTTTTGCGGGGAAAAAAATTAATTAATTAATAGAAAATAATATATAATATACAATAATATTGATAAATAAAAAAATTAAATTAGGCTTAAAAAAAAATATATATTTTTGGAAGACTATTAAGCCAACCTCCTCACGGTGTCTTCCGGGTAACGCTAATAGGCTTGGATTTAATAAAATATGTTAATATATGCAAAGAAATAAATGTGCCCAAACTTACTATTATAAAGGGAAATATTACGCCCAAACGTGTTATGGATTTACGCTCCAAAGTGTTTTGTTTTGGGTAAATACGCCCAAACGTATTTCCCCCCCGCGGGCATCATACGAGTCCATCCCCGCCGTATCCGCGTCATACCTATCAATTTATATTTTTCATTGATTCATTAGCATTGCTAGGATTTGTATGCAATAAAAAATTGTAAAAAATGCATTTAAATTTTTATAAGATAAACACAAAAATGTATATTGGAAAATCAAACCGACGTGGATTAGAAAATAGTTTATTCGAGAATAGTTCAATATTTATTAATTGTAGGTATATATTTTATATTTAATATTATACAAATAAATTAGGTACCTATATAAAAAAATACGAAACAAAATACTTTGTACTGAATTGTTATATTAACATATTATTTATTATTATTTTTTCTATATAAGATATTAACTAGTTAAATAATATTTGTCATACTTAATTTTTTTAAGACAATATTTAAGTTACCAAAAATATTATTAGTATATAATACCTATATAATATTATAGTTTAATTTGTAAAATTATTTATTGTAGAAATGGTGAAATACATATTTTTCCTTATTACCTTCTAACACGTACCATCAAATACAAAGTGAATACATTTTTTTTTTTTATATATACAATATATTTTATTATAGAATATATTTCATTATAGAATATTAATGTTAGAATCTTACTCCTGTTTTTATACAACATTTTTCTTAAATAATTTTCCTTACATTGTACTCTTAAAAAACTTTTATTTGAATGATCGAATGCATTTTATACATTTTTTAGGTACAGTAAAGTGTTTGTAGATTTCAAATTTTTTCGAAGAATTTTTAAAATTTGTCTCAGAGATTCATTGATTGTTACGGAAGCGTAGGAGTGCCACCCAAATTATAGGAAATGTTTTTCAATATTTGTTATAACGGATATAATTTCTGTAATTACAAATAATTTATCTGTTATTAAAAATTACTTATTTGTTTTAATGGATATATTTTCTGTTATTACAAACAGTTTATTTGTTATAACGGATATATTTTCAACTTAGTTTTAGCATAATTTTTTTTTCAATATTTAAAATAACGGATATAATTTCTGTAATTACAAATAATTTATCCGTTATAACGGATATATTCTCAACTTAGTTGGTCTCAACTAATTTGTGTTCATATTATATATTATGAATTTATGATTGATTAACATACATTAGTATTATAATGGACATTGATGATATAATATCGAGGTATTTTAGTTTAAGTTTACCTTACCATGAAATACTGTTACATTTAAATTATAATTACTGAATAAATATAAGTATGCGTACACTTAAGAGAAAAATGGCCAACTTAAATCTATTTAGGAGAAAGCAATTTACTCCAATTGAAACTGTTAGATTATACATTAAAAATATAGTGAATACTTCAAATCAACTGAATGGGTATAAATGGGTCCATTTAAAGTGCATCAGACAAGTTTTTACAGTAACACAGGAAACCATTCGTCATCTACTGCTTGAAGTTGATCCAGAAGGAGTAGTATTCACATCAAAAAAAAGATTGAGAAGACGAGTATATAGTAACCCAGGACCAAATTATTTATGGCACACTGATGTTTATGACAAGTTGACTCCATACGGAATTTCAATTAGTGGCTGCATTGATGGTTTTTCTAGGTATATAGTTTGGCTACATGCCGCATCATCTTGCAGTAATCCAAACATTATCGCTGGGTTTTATGTTTATACCGTTGAAATGTTAAGTGGATGTCCTCAAACATTAAGATTTGATGCAGGATCAGAAAACACAATCATCCAACACCTTCAAACATTCCTTCATCAAAACAATCCATCTGAAAAGCCATGGGTTTTGATTTTAAAAAGCACTGAAAATCAACGAATCGAAGCTTGGTGGGGAATTTTAAGAAAGCATCAAAGTCAGTTTTGGATAAATTTATTTCAAAAACTCAAAGAAGATGGTCATTTTACAGGTTCATGGCTAGACAAAAATCTAATAAGATTTGTATTTCTAGACATTATTAAGGTAGGTAGATTATTGATTAGTTAGGTATTTATTGTGTTTAGGAATTAGGAGTAACCATATAAAATATGCTAAGATTATAAGTTATAACTCATATCCTACCTCAAACTCATACCTATAAATGCAGTTATAAAATGCTTAAATTACCAGCCCTTTTAGACATTATAGACCTTTTAGCTCTTGCTTTAAAATTAGTATGGGAAAATGTCTATGTAACTGACACTGATTGCCTAAATAATCATAATTTTTTTGTTTTACTAAAATGAAACTATACTATATTATACCATAATCAAGCTATAACTTTATAATATTATACTCATAAAATATTTTTTAGTTAATAACAATTGATGAAGTACAATTTTTGATTTGTTTTATTATTAGACTGAATTAGAAGAAATAAAAACTGAATGGAATTCACATAAAATACGGGGGGAAAAGGGCAACTTAAATCTATTTAGGAGAAAACAATTTACTCCAATTGAAACTGTTAGGTTATATGTACATTAAAAACCATATATCAGGAGCCTTGTACCTATTACATTTTCACGATTTTTGGAATTATAAAATAGGAATTTATAAAATATACATATGGTGTAATTGTGTAAATTTCCAGTATCTACAGTTATTCGTTTTTGAATTACCTACAGCAAAATAAAAAAATCGCTACATAAGAAATCGAGTGAATACCTATCCAATCTTGAAATCACTTGAACGTTTGACGTTCATAAAAATTTAATTTGACTCTCAGGAAGAATTGTTTAAGTGTCATTTTAACAAAAACTGAGTTGCGTTAAAAATACCGTTTTTCCCAAATTTTTGTTTTGTATCTTCCTGCGCTTTTGAAAACTATTGAGAATTTTAAATTTTTACCTCCCTTATGCACCAACTAGATTCACTTTCCCATCGAACAAGATACCTACTGCTAAAAAAAATTGAATCAATATTACTGCCCCAAACGGTGATGATAGACACAAAAATAAAAAAAACCACTCATTGTTGTAAAATCAGTAGGTACATTAATCGCTCCGTGAAATCGAATACTATGGTCGAAACGTCGATCGAAACTTTTGGATAATACGGATTTTTGTATCTATATTTCCCCCCTTATTGTACTTATGCTTCCACTAATTTAGAGTACATTTTTATTTTATAACTACCCCTTCATTTATTCCTAATAAACATTGTTTTCTACATTTTACATAATATGACAATATAATAAAATACATTATGTATATAAATATACATATTGCATATACATCTAGAAATATGTATAGAAGTGTAAAAGATTTAATAAGAAAAGATACAGCGGTTAATGGTTACCACTAATATTATCATTTATCAATAAAACCAATAAAATAAAAAAAATAATAATTTTTTTTTGTGATAACTTCACTTTGAAAACAATCAAACCTCTAGCTACGGTTGAGGACTCGGAATTTGTCGCACCCCCTAAATACGCCACTGATAAGAGATAGAATAAAAATGATCATTATTGTGACATTGTATATTATAAAATATTTCAATAGTTATTTTAGTTATTTTTTTTTCGTTTAAGGTGTAACTATTGTTTATTGGGAGTTGGGAAACTACATTTTAAAAAATTGCTTTATTCAATATGAATTTGTTTTCTATCATAAGATACTAGATGGAATTTTTTGTTTTTTAATTTTGCTTAAAAGTTACTTAACTACTTGTTACATCCTACTTATTTTATATTGATTCATATATATTCATATAAATATATATATTCATATAAATATATAATATAACATATAAACATAAAATTATGAATACTTATTAATACAATTATTTTTAAGGTTGCATTTATACTTGTATCTTTAAGTAGGTTTACTTAATTATAATATTGATATAGGTACCTACTAAACCGCCTACCAGCTACCTATTACTCAATGACAAATTCCTATATAAAACATTTTTCTTCGTGTGTTCTTGCCCAAGACAGCCACAAAAGGGTCAATACTTCTGCAAAATTAAATAGCTGCCCCAAGATACGCCATTAAGCCATGTAATGGTAACTTGGGGCAACCACAAAAATAAATATAATATAACCTAACCTAACCTAACATACTATAACCTTAGTAGTTACAGTTAATATAATATGTATAAACTAGTTTATACAATTATACCTAACCGTATACGATATACGTAACAGGTATTCGATTGATTTTTATTTTACTTAAAATAAACCCAGGACTCAATTACCTATTAATTATTAGTATAGGTTTCTAAAATGTTCATTACCTACTCAATTAGTAGGTATGTTATTTTTTTTAACACCAGGAATGGGAGTGTAACTTATTTAGTTCATGGTATAAACTATGGGTCTTAATTAGTATGCATCAATGTACCTACTAATATTTTATTATATCAAGTGTACCACTCATGTAAGGGCCGATTTCACCAACACAGTTAATCACGATTAACTCACCTTAATCACGATTAACATTGATAAATCATTTATAATATTACATTATAATATGTAGTTCTATACTTCTATACTTCTATGCATATGGCATAATATCTATGGAGGATATTGAATTCATATTTTGGAGCCATACTATTTATGCACATTACCAGTAAGGGGCTGGATAGGCAAATTCAGTGAAATTGAGCGTAATGTATAAACTAACCACTATGACCTAACCAGACATTGTTTCTGTTCTAACCTATAACCATGGACTTAAAAATATCTATATATAATATCAAAGGCCGTGGTCAAAAAAGTATTTGCTATGGTTATAAACTACTTGCCGTGTGTCCTAAACTAGGTATTTTAATTTTTTTACCTGTCGACTGACGTCTACGGTCTATCCCATAAACCTGTCTTCGTGGCTCGTGCTGAACTACTGAAATACCTACTGAATCCTTTAAATGAATAAGCTAGTGGACTTCTTGACGTTGCGTTCCATTGAACTAAACGTCATTAATCAAATAATAAACGAAAACGTAAGTAAATAATTGTTGAGTATAACTGGTACCTACCTCATATTTCTAATTTCCTATATTATATATTTTATAGATTGATGAAGATGTAATATTGCTAATGAATGATCAAGATCCTGAGAAACTGACCTCATTATTTCCCAAGTATGGAGATAGACTGGCAGTACTGGATTTTTGCAATAAAAATAAAGTTGATAATTTAAGAAAGACATCACTTCTAGACACTTTAAACAGAAAAGTCAAACAGAATTCTGAATCCAAAAAAAGGTTTGTCATCATTCATTTTATACCGCTGACTCCACAGAGAGACAAAATATTACTCATTGTCTTATGAGTTATGTTTTAATGTATTTTTCACATATTTTCTTTTAATTAATTGTTATAGTAAGACCAATATGATGTCAGGCAATATGAACGCTTACAAAAAAGAAAGGACAATAGAAATTGGATGGCTAAACTATGATTTTGGACTTGCAAAATTTGTGCAAGTAAGTTAGTGTTTAAGTTATTCATTTAATTGATTATACTCCAGATATATGGACACATTTGAAATTAAATTTATTTAAAACTAAAAAATGGTAGGTATTTTGTCAATTGAGAACATATTTTGCTATTGGTCTTTTTTTATTCAATTAGGATCATTTATAATTAGGTACAAAACTTTGTTTATTTTTTTCTATTGATTTTATTTTCAATTGATATACAAACTTCTTTGCCCAAGTTTAAAATGATTTAACAAATGTTGATAATAATTTTGCTAAATGGTTTCACTAAAATGTTTTACCCAATATACTATAATTAGTAAGATAAACTATCTTATTTCTACTAAGTACTAAGTAATTTAATACGAATCACTAAAATTAACTCATACATTTTGCCCCTCTTGTTTAATTAACTAATAATTATTGCATAATATAATATTATATATATTATTATAAATCTATATCATAAAAGAAATTGTTATTAATGTGTTTTATATTAAACAATTAAATCTGACATTTGACATTTAAATATCATATCTTACAGATGATTTCATTTTTTTTTTGTGAACCTATTTCTTTATATTTTATTAGGTTTATCAAAAAAAGGTGGAGGTAATCGCCGTGTCAAAATGAACAAAACAGATACAAAGCAACATATACTTGAGAAAGGACAAACACTTTTTTTCCCTAATGGCCAGTCTTCAAAAGGTCTAATCAATACATTTGTTTTTGATGTAGTAGATTATCAAAGAAAAACTATTGATTGTGATAAATCTCTATTGCAGTTTTATGAGGAAACTGGTAAATTAATGAACATAAAAGCTTGAACATTTTAGTTCAATATTTTTTTTTTCCTTTTATGTATTGCATATTATATTTTTCAGGTTTTACACTATTAAGATTTTACATCACAACTAAATTCATTAAAAAAAAAAATTGACTATGGAATATTATTTTCGCCAGATAGTAGTGATAATGATGACGTTAATAATGTAGCTGAAATTAAAATTCCATATTTTACAGAACACAATTCACTTGAAGAAGGTATTTTACTATCTAGTTCTTTTCTAATGCTAACTTATCTCTAGTTATAATACATTATGATGTATTATTATTTTAAAATATTTTAATACTTTAATATTGGAAATTTTAAATTTTAAATTTGATTTAATAAATTGTTTTGGAAAAATTTAAACTAGTCAATTCATAAATATGATTATGAGAATAATTTTAATGGTAAAAATATTTATCTATCTCAACTAGTTTATTTTTCAGAATTTTTTTAAATATTAATATTTATTTGAGTAAATTAATTTAGAACGTAAGTAATCATTTTTTTCAAAATATGATGACATGAGTATATCTGAGATATCTCTTTAATTATTTATTAACAGTATAATTTTTACAATTGTTAACATTCGTATAAGTAGCATTTTTTTTTTTTTGTTTTATGTTAGGTCTTCTCGTTACAACCTGTATAATACTATAGTATTTCTACTACTATAGTATTTCATAAAATAGTACAATATACATTTTATATAAAGGTAGGTATTTCACATTTTAGAAATATACTTTAGAAGAAAGGTATATATTATATTTGTAATATATATATTTTTTAATTTCATCTGAATATTAAAAATTACATTTTAAAATTTAAAATAACAAAGAAAATCAAAATTTTTATTTTTGTACCATACTTGGTAAATAATATTTATATATACATGAGTCATTGAAAGATTATGCAAACTTTTCCATAGAAAATCAAACGGGAACATCTAGCTCTGCTACCTACTAATAAAGACATTGGTAGGTAGCTTATTACAATATTCAATTATCATTTAAATTGATTATAAGTTTATTTTTAGATTTTGCTGAGTTGAATGTCGATCATAATATTTTGAATGAAAATGTGGTCAGTGACAGTAAACAGCCTAATGTAACAAACTTAATTCTACATCGTACTAACATTTTTAGTGATTTAGTAAATATATTTAAAAAACAAGACATAGCTAGTGGTCACATTATTGTTGAACTCATTGGGCCAAATGGAATTCCAGAACG